TACATACATACATACATACATACATACATACATACATACATACATACATACATACATACATATTCATACATACATACATACATACATACATACATACGGCTACATCTTTAAATGGTCATTTTGCACACTCATCTTGTCATTGCAACCCAAGCAGGTGTTGCCCTAGATTGATGAGTCTGTGCCAGCGGAAGAAGCAAACGTATAGTTCATGCGAAAATAAAGCAAGCTCAACGAAAGAACTGGATACCCTCTCTTCCGAGACCGATTCAAAGCTCATTTATCTCGAATGGAAGCATAATTCTATGATTTGCAAGACACTAGTGGATGAAAAAAGAACTCAGCTGCAAGCTGAAGAGAGCGTCAAGAGCCGAGATGTCTACCCGACCTTGTACAGATATGATATTCCCCTAGTAACCGAATATTCGGGGGTCCAGAGCAAGCAGCTGATCAAATTCTCTGGCACATATGAGAAGACGGTACCGGTGTTTGAGGCTAGGAACAGATTGGTGTCCGTACAGGTTATGTCAAAATAGCCAAAAAGACTACAATCACCCACCTGAACTCAGCCTTAAGTCTATTCGACTGCAAGTTCGAGTCCCCACATTTTGTCTTCAACACAACTGGGCTCATTCCAAGAGGATTGATTGAGTGCATATTCTCTAAGCGACCTGGGCAGACGTCTCGTGGCAATCACTTACAGCGACTATTTGCAACTGTTCCCTCCTAGATTTGTACTATTTTGTGTGTCTATTGACCTCTATCAAAGGTTAAGATTGGTTTTTCTATCACTTCGACGAAGATTTTATAGTTTTTTATACTCCACAGGTCATAAGCCAAAAGTCACTTGATTACAATCATACATTTCTGAAATTATGGTTGCATCAAAATTTTACATCTAACCAGGTTCCCTTCCAAGCCTAGAAGAGTTAATATTTTTATTAATGCCAACTACAACTGCATTCCATGCTATTTTGGAAAGCTTATCTCAATGCATTTCTACCAGCCCGAAATCATATCCTCCAACATCACGCGATATCTTTTCTCGTAAGATAAAGCTTTCCTATTTATCTATCCTGTAGATCCGTCGAAGTATACGCTACATCATTCCACCATTTACTCATAAAACCGATTTTTTCGAGAGTTTCCTATTTCATACAGCATTCTTTTATCTTCCTGTTGTCCGTCCATGTATTCTAGAGCTCTCTTCGCCCGCTTTCCCCTTTAAAGCACATGCAGATGCTCTTTCTATTCACGCACGGATTCACTTCAACATATTAATACACAAGCGAACTCCCAATTAGTGCATACAAAGATGTGAATATGCATATCTGAAAGCATCCAAACACAAATACACGTTAATATAATAATAACAGCATACATTTACTAAAAATATAAATAGTAATAAATCAGCATATAAATAAATCAATAAATATATATATATATATATACAGTTATATACATGACTTTCATAGATACTTTTAGTCACACGAAGCTATGGCTGACAAATATGACTGGAACATGCTGACATACTTTATCAAGCAGATTGCATTTTATTATTTAGCTGGAGCCTTTGAATGTTTATAGTATTTGGATCTCTCTATTTTTATTGTTGCAAATAAACATAGTTTTATTTCATTCTAGCCTTCTTTGACCATCCCCAAATATAGTTTATTCTATTTTGATGCTGGTCAACTGGCAGAATCCATGTCTAGAGAGGATAAGAAGAGTGGGAAATTTCATCATACCAATTCGGTGTTGCCTCTTCTGATGGCCGAGCTAGCCGAGGTGAAGCAAAGGCAATATTTAATTGCTTTTATGCTTTGACGTCACATCCCAGCAAGCCCAAATCCCACCCGGCCTTATGTGGCCACACATAAAGCGAATGGCTTGGACTTTCAGTCCTAAAGAGGTCACATAAAATGATGCTCAAAGCCTCAAATTGCCATGATTTTCATGCCTCTTCGAATTTTCAGAATGGTCCGAACAGCAGACATAGCATCAGTAGACGATAAAGATTAAGCTTGTTTTTTTCTCTCTTTTCTTTGTCATTATGCTTTTAATCTATTCATTTGATGTCCTGTCATCCAAATTGTGTGAAGAATACACTTCATGTTTCATTGTGTCTAGCTTGATGAGCCCGATCCGCAAAGCTAGTTGGCATTTGATGGATTCTGTGGCGACTGGCTGTACTTCGTATAGCAGAAGCTACTGAAATCCAATCTTTATCATTTCATATGCTTCATTTCGTGCATATATTTGGGGCAGTCCTCTTCTGTATGCTCTCTTCGGGAAGGCTGGTCAACTGATTAATCTGATAGCATTGGGAATATTAACAGTTTACCACAAATCTCAAGCCGTGCACAGCAAGACTTAAAATATTTTCCTGCTCACACTGATTATTGTGAGTGGCGATGATAAATTATCTGATAAATTTATCACAAATTATGTATTAAAACACAAGGCGAAACATGCTTATATGATGATGATGTGTGAAATGTGGGAAAGGGTGCAACAAAATGAGGCGAATGAGTGAAGCCATGAAGCAAAAGACTAAAGTTCAACCTTGCCTCGGGGAGGTGGAATAAGCTTCTCGTTTTGGCGAGAAGAGAATTAAGCTGCGTTGGTTAAGCTTCTTACGAGGAAGAGACAAACGGCAACAGAGAACTGATTGTGAATTTGTCCTCTGCTGCTCACACCCATTGTACTAGTCAGAAATGTTCGTAAACCGATTAATTCCATCTAAATTAGCGAAGCCTCAGCTCAAAAATGTTGTACTTTCCTGGGTGTAACTCTAATTTTTTCCGTGGCTTTCACACTTTGTGTCTTGTCATTCATACCCGTGGTCATTCTTTGCATAGTACTTGAAGGATATACCCGAAAATGGCGTTTGTTGGCAGGCCTTTTCTATTGGTTCGAATAGAATTTTCAGTTCCTATGGCAATATGATATCGTGTCAATACCACTTGGATACAGAGATGCAAGGCTTGATTATGCCGACGAGGACCAAGTGGGTTGAGATGGCAATAGAGGCAAAACTGCAATTTAATAGACACAAACTAATGATTTTGCTTACAATTGTACATTTCAACCCCATTTTTAACCCGATTCCCTGCTACCTTGGTGCACACCAGTTTGGTTTTGTCCTTACAACTTATACTTTTTAACCACTTAGATAGGAGATTTATCACATAAATTAGCATTTTCTGCCTTTTAAAATTATTTTGATCTTTTTCTTTGACCTTATGCTGTGCCAATAAAGCGTTTTTATGTTATTTGCCTACGTGTGTTGGTGCTAGATCTCAACAATAAGCATTAAATTGTTATGATCCCTGACGTTACTACAGCTAATTGGTACTAAACCAAGAAAAAGCGGATGCAGGACACATTTTTATGTCTTTTAAATAGTCAACATGTTCTTATTCAGCAGCGTTGCCTCGAAACAGCTCCGTTTGTGTTAATGAGCCGAAATGGAGGCAAAATGAAGCATATTTTCTACGCGAGTATGTTTCAAAGCATTCTACTCGACCGATATCTTTCACATGGAAATGTGTCGATCTCAGAATGCCTGCGTTAGAGCATGTTAAATTCTCAATTAACCGCATGTTTTGTACAGTTTTCGGCGAGTAAACATCGACTGGCTCCTCGACATGTCTGCCTCGTTGTGTCCTGCAACAGAAAAGCGGCATTGCAAACGTAAGTTTTTGGCTGAGTATGAATATTCGAAATCACATTTGTTCAGTATCGGCCTTAAACTCGCCTAACATCTGCACTCTGTCTAATTCACAGTTTAGCTGGTCACTGTCACGAAATCGTATGATTCACTCACTCACTCACTTCCTCTTGCCTTATTTCCTACTCCGCCGTTTCTGTGTGCTTTCCTCGTCGCGGACACTTGAAACCTGTGTGTCAATGGGCACACGTCGCTTACGCCCAATTCACATATTTTCGTGGATCAGTGAGGAGGGCAACGCTGTGGCAGTTCGGGAGAGTTACGCCGGTGAAGATGTGCAAATGAAGCTGCGAATTTTCGTCATCTCTCTTACCGACTATGAGCACAATCATCGCGAGATTAATGGACTAAAGCATGCCGGTAAGTGAAAGATGGATTGATATAGCATTATGAAAATGGCTTAGAGTAGCCGATATTTTATGATTTGTTGATGAGGATTTATGCAAGTTTCATACCTGACAATGGGCCTTTTGGTGTGTTTAAACGGTGATCCAATCATCCAGTTCAACTAAAAGGTTGGATGGAAGAAAGTCTTAAATCGGTCGTTGATACCTATTGTCCCGTGTTAGCCAAAATTTCTGTGTTATACCAAAATGTGTGCAATTTCGGGCATTTTTAGCTTTGCCAAAATTGTAAAATTCCTTCGAAGAAGATGGCACTTAATTCGTAGTCAACCTAGACCCTTGGAAGTAATTATATCCTAACACAGTTCGTCGACAGTTTACTCTCTGTCTCGTTGCTATCGCAAAGTTAGCTTGACTTGGATTTTCATTTAAAGGGAATTCGTGAATTGCTAAATAATTGGGTAAAGAATATTGTGTGGATTATGCGAAGGATTTTTGCAAATTTAATGCCTGCCAATGGGCCACTTGGTGTGTTTAAACGGTGATCAAATCATCCATTTAAACAAACAGGTTGGATGGGAGAAAATCTTGAATCGGTCGCTGTAACCTATTGGCTCGTGTTAGCCACAAAGTCTGTATTATACCAAAAAGTATGCAATCTTTTGGCATTTTAAGCTTTGGCAAAATTGTCTAATTCCTTCGAAGAAGACGGCACTCGAATCTTCGTTAACCTAGACTCTTGGAAGTAACTATATCCTAGGACAGTTTGTCAACAGTTTATTCTCTCTCTCGTTGCTATCGCAAAGTGAGCTTGACTTGGATTTTTTATTTGGAGGGAATTCGTGAATTGCTGAAGAATTGAGTAAAGAAGATTGTTTAGATTATGCAAAGGATTTTTCAAGTTTTCTGCCTGCCGATGGGCCTCTTGGTGTGTTTAAACGGTGATCAAATCATCCATTTCACCAAACAGGTTCGATGGGAGAAAATCTTGAATCGGTCGCTGTAACCTATTGGCTCGTGTTAGCCAAAATGTATGTGTTATACCAAAAAGTGTGAAATATTTGGCATTTTCAGGTTTGGCAAAATTGTGAAATTCCTTCGAAGAAGACGGCACTCAAATCGTGGTCAACCTAGACCCTTCGAAGTAACTATATCCTAGGACAATTCATCGACAGTTTATTCTCTGTCTCGTTGATATCGCAAAGTGAGCTTGACTTGGATTTCCATTTGGAGGGAATTCGTGAATTGCTAAAGAATTGAGTAAAGAAGATTGTGTGGATTGGACGAAGGATTTTTGCATGTTTCATGCCTGACAATGGGCCTCTTGGTGTGTTTAAACGGTGATCCAATCAACCAGTTCAACGAAAGGTTGGATGGAAGAAAGTCTTGAATCGGTCGCTGATACCTATTGTCCCATGTTAGCCACAAAGTCTGTGTTATACCAAAAAGGGTGAACATTTTTGGCATTTTCAGCTTTGGCAAAATTGTGTAATTCCTTCGAAGAAGACAGAACTCAAATCGTGGTCAACCTAGACCCTTAGAAGTAACTATGCCTAGCACAGTTCGTCGACAGTTTATTCTCTATCATGGATTGTGGAGGGTATTCGTTAATTGCTAAAGAATTGAGTAAAGAAGATTGTGTGGATTGGGTTCATCGTCATGCAAACCCAATAAATGCATGCCAATAATTGGTGTGAAAAGATTAAGAGAATAAACTAAGTTTGATCTGCTTTTGGGCTATTTCGTAGATTATGTGTGTGAGATAATAAACGAATTATTATTCACTGATTCGTCAGACTTGCAGGATAGTGAGCCGAGGACTGTTGAA